GGCTTACGGTTCTACTTTGTGTGACGGCAGCACAAGAAGCCCCGCCCTGGTGGGCCTTGTCTTCCTCCTATGTCTGACCAAGACCTTGGAGTACAAGGCTTTTCCTTGCCCAATGGGTCTATTAAGGTGCAGTGTTGATATTTCCAAATTCCTTCATAGATACTTAAGAAATAGTTTCTTCACATCACTGACACTCAATAAAGGTATATCGAGGAGACAATGAAGGAGTGAATAATTGAAGAAATCACTGTCCACCTTAATTAATTAATCCAAATTTTATAAATGGTTATCAGTACCAGGCCATATGCTAGAGATAAAAATGTAGAGACCCAGTCTATCCCCTCAAGGGTCTCTCAGTCTGAAATTACAACTTTCATTATTCTCTGCTTACCTTTTTGAACACAGTAATATACTTCCCCATTACTAATATTTCAGAAAGCACACTACACCTTAGAGCCAGAAGATCTGTAAAATAACTTTTATGGATCAATCTATGCTAAATGGATCATTGCTTGTTCTTTCTTTTCTCCTTTTCTTTCTTCTCTCCTTTTTCTGTTTCTTATCTAATTATTCACACATATATTATGGTTTTTACTTTAAACACAAAATGATATGAGTTAATCAATAATTCAGTCATGCAAATGCCTAAAAATGCCTAAAAATCCCAAGGAGCCATAAAAGTAATCCACTAAACTGAATCAGCACCCTTTACTGCTTGTCCAGCATAAGTCATTCTTCTGGCAAATAAAAACCGGTTAATTGCTTGTTGCAAGGTTCCCATAATTCAGTTTCTATTTTAACCCACTGTGTAAACAGAAAAGAATGAGCAAAAATCTCCTCACCTGGGTGAGACTGAGACGTGAAATGGTAGGCGTTTAAGTCAAGGATAATACAGGACTGAGCTCAGTAAGCATTGAGAACATATCTGTAAGTCAGATTCCAGGACAGAATTTAAGGAACAGGTAGTTTCCTATGACAAAGGCCTCCAAACTGTGAACGGTCTGCCTTCCCAGAATAAAGTCACCACGCCAGTAAGAAAGAGAAGAGGGCATCCATCACATCTGTAACGCGGACATGCTAACAAGACCAGTCACTGAATCTTGGCATTCTTTTTAAAAAAAGTCGCCCTTCTTTTTCTACCATTTCATGAGAGTGAGCATACTGTAGCCACAGTGTAGGTGCAAATCCTGGCTTTTTAAGATGATTATGGCACTGCACGTAGGACTTGACTTTCTTGTGCCTCAGTTTCTCCATCTATAAAGTGAGAATTAATTGAGCATTCACCCCCCAGAGCCGTTATGAGGATTAAGGAAAAGTTCCTTCTGTAAAGTGCTTAGAACAATGCCTGGATCTCACCAAGAGTCAAGGCCGCAGTCATCACCACCATCATCGCTGTCATCACTGCCCTTCTAACGCCAACCTCTTTGACCAGGGGCATTCGGGTTAGCCTACACTGCGTTATACTTCGTTTGCTTTTGTACTACTGTCTTTTTTATGAGCGCCTGTATTGTTAACTTTCCTACTGCCTATAACTACATACAGAGGAAAGGAATTGTGCTCTTGCGCTTTTTTGGCATACAAAGTTGGAAGACTAGTAGGGCAATATTATAACTCCCACCCTCCATGTACCATATTGACTCCCTGTCTCTGAAGATGTCAGATCTCTCTAAATAATGATGGGGGTAGGGAGGATAATGGATATGATCAAGACAATGAAGGGGTGATACGATAAAACCATGTTATATACACGTATGAAACACCACACTGTAGCCCAGACATTGTGTAAAATTAATAGGCACTAATAAAATATATTTTAAAAGATTCTTTTATAATGCCATGATCATATTTATTTTTCACTTACTTTTTAATTGCTTGGGAAATTATTTTTCTTTCAAGATGCAGTTTGGAAAGTTAATTTCTTAGGTCAGTATATCCCAAACTGTCTATGGACAGATAATAAACCAAAAAGTCATTTTCACTGATGTACGGCAAAAATGTCAGCCTTTTTCTGAATATAAGATGCTCCTACTTTGACCATGCATGTGTGTATTTAAATATCCTTTCATTTAGTTAAGAAATCAGAATAATTATAATTTCTTGTTTGTTTTAATCTTCTGGAAGTTTCCTTTGCATATATTTTTTTAAACACTTTACTTGTTTAGAGAACATTTTTCCTTTGTTTTCCTGATGAATGAAATTGTTTCTTGGGTCCCAATTATTACTTTTTCTTGATCTACTCTTTTATTTTTATAAAGAGCATCTTCCAGATCTTTCTGAGAAAAGATATAAATAATAAAATGTTAAGATCTTGTGTCTTCATGCTGCAATTATTTGATTGATTGTTGTATGACTACAAAATTTCAGGTTGAAAATAGTATTTTCTTAGACTTTTGAAGGTAGAGTTTCAAGATCTTCTATGAACTAATGCTGCTACTATGAAGTCAGATGTAATCTGTATTTTCTTAATCCTATTCTTCTGTATAAAAATTGTATTTTTAATAACTATGGAAGCTTAAAAGATTTTCTTTTTATTTATTCCAATGGAAAACCTTTTTCATTAGTTTTTCTGGGAAATGATGAGTCATATCAGTTTGAAAAATATCCTGATTTAGTTTTGGGAAATCTTACACTTCTTTGTTTTATCTAGCCTCTCATCTTGGAATCTTATTACTTTAATAGTAGATTTTCTGGACTAATTTCTACTAAAGCACTGTTAACATTTCCATTATATTTTGGGCTTTTTTAATTTTAGATTTTGGTTCTACATCTCTAGAGGAAGAAAATATTATGCAAAGCCTCAAAATATTGCTGTAGTTTTTGATACCAGAATTGAAAAACTTAGGCATATCAAGAGATAACACCAAGAAAAATAGACAGACACCAGAAACAGACTGACAGGGAATTCAGAAAGAGAAGTTATGAGCCATGAGCCTTTGAGTAGCTTTGATTAATATAGTTGAAAAATTTGATAACAAGATGAAGAATTTCACCTGAGGAATGGAAACCGTGAAAAAGAAGAAAATGAAACCTTAGAATAGAGACATATGACTGAAATTAATAATGCTGAAGCGTGGAATCATTCGGCTCCAACATAAAAGCAAACAAAAATATCCTACACAGATGCTCCAAGAGAAATTCTGGAGAATGTTTTTAGCTGCATTATTCATAACAAAAGGGATAATAAAATGGGGTCTCTTTATGCAATGGAATAGTATATACAGCACTAAAAATCAGCAAATTAATGTTATATACACTGAAAAACAAATCTTACAAACCAGGTTTTGTTAAATAATGCATACATGAAAGGATATGATTCAATTTCTACAAAGGTCAAAAATAGACCAAATTAATGTGGTAGAAGTGAGGAAGCAGATTAACTCTCAGAAGAGGGGAGAGAGTTGTGATTAGGAAGGACATGAGCAGGTGTATGAAATGCGTGTCACACTCTATTTCATCTGGGTCGTGGTTATAGATGGGTGTGTACTTTTTGGTAAGTCCTCAAACTGTACACTTAGGATTTGTGTTTGTTTGTACAGGTACCTAAGCAGTCCATAACATTTAAAATATACTTCCATAAAATAAAATGCTATCGAAGTAAAGCAAGAACAAAGGTACAGCATCTATAATTAACTCTGAGGGACAGGCACGGTCTGTATCGTATTACTCCCTTCTCCCTGTTATTTGTGGCACCTACCGTGGACTCATGGGCCTGAGTTCAGAAGCACTCTGGTTCAGGTTCCCCACAGATGAAGTCTCCTGCTGCCTGATTATATGGAGTTAGAGAGGGAACCTGGGATGCTGAATGGAATCACTCTCCTGTTTTTAGTCAGACCTCTTCCCTACTAGAGCTGCCGATTGATAGACTTCTTTCAAACTCACTGGAAAACCTCTCTGTAAGCCCAAAGGTTTCAGCTTCCTTTGCTCATCTAAATCATCCCTTAAGCTTATAAAATATATCCACATCTTTTGTCTACTGTTGTTTCTTCTCCCACACTTTCACTATATTGGATTTATACCTTTTTATCCTGGTACTGTAATTTTAGTTGAATTTAAATTTTAGTTGGGTTTAAATTTTAGCTGTGCCAGGGATTTAGCTCAGTGGTTCTGGTGACTGCCTCGCAGGTGCAAGGACCTGAGTTTGATCCCTGGTACAAAAAAAAAAATTGTTTTTTAGGTGCATCAGAGATTAAAACATGCATTTAACTTGCTATGTTTGATCCACTTGTTTCCTCACACTTACATGCATCAGATCTTCATTTACCTCCTATAACCTGATGAAAAGCACAGATACATTTCTGGATATTTTGAGGCTTATTAGCTAAGCTCTGTTTTTAAAAATGCTATCTTTTACTTTCCCATATAGCCTTCTACTGGTGTATGAGATGAGCAGCTGAACCTGCTGCCTTGTGATCTTTCCAGGAAGCTGTTAATACACTGCCAAGTTTTATTATCAAATGAAATTTATAGGCACAGCATCTTGTTCCACAGAGTGAGCCACAGAAGGATTTCCTGGACACTTATCCAGATGGACCACAAGTCTAAGGTCAAGAAACAAATGCCTAAGAAACCACCTTTGACAGCTTACATTTAACCCTGCTTTCTGGACATCCAGAAGATTAAAAAAAAATCCGAATGAAAATCAAAATTAAGCATTAGTATTCTTTTGCGGCCGTTCAATATTATTTTAGCAGAATGGTATGTCATATTAGGAATCTGTGATGGCTGAGTTGTACCTGCAGATTTATGAATCAAATTATGAAAAATTAATGTGTATATTTATAGTGTCTCTAGGAATAATGAGGAAATGCTCAGCTCTATTTTCACATGATCACTAGAAATTTAATATGATTGCTACCAAATGACTTTCCATACAGAATGAAAAGGAATACAGACAACATCAGAGCATACTAGCTGCCTACGACCATGCAGCCAAGCTTTCTGAAAAGCATGGTTAATTTACAAAATATGTGAGAATTCTAAAACTTGACAACAAAACATACCATCTTTGTCAGCAGTGTCTTGAGGCTTGGATTTTAAGGTGAAGATCTTCCGTAGTTTACAGTTAGCTGACACGATGATGCCATCCAACGACTGGAAAACCGCACCCTTGAATATTTCACTGGTGAACGCCGCCAAGTCAATGCACAGATTGCACCACTACAATCGAGAGAAGCAAAAGACAGTGAGAACTCCACAATTACAGAAATGAACAAGCCACGATGTGCAGAAAGCCCAGAGAAGTGAGGCAGTTTTCTGGATCAATCAGCACAAAACCAGTATTTCCCTATTTGTTTTGGATTAAATTTTCTTAAAAATTCCCTTATTCTTCCCATAAAATCATCATAACCTAACTTATACGTCAGTCATCTGACTACAGAGTTGCCATCACGAGACAGCTTTGAGGAGTAACTGTCGACAGGCATTATGCTGGTTGGCTGGAAGCTAACTGTAGGTGCACTAGATCATTTAAATCTTGAATATCAGGGATAAGGAGCCAGTTATTCCTTCAAGGGGACTAATTTGATCGCAATTAGCCACTTACATTTGATGAAAAAAAAGGGACATGGATGAAATTGGAAGCTAGGTTTAAACTGTAGCCCTTGCTATCTACTTATAACCAATTAACCTATTGTACAGAAACAGATCCTTCTAAAGAATTTGTAATTATGATAGCAGCCGTTCTTTGTGGGGTGAGGTGGAATCTTAGTGTTGTTTTCATCTGCATCTCTCGAATGACCAGTGATGTGGAACATTTTTTCATATATTTTCTTGCTGCTTTCACTTCTTTGTATGAGAAATGTCTGTTCATTTCGGATGCCCATTTTTGGATCGGGTCTTTATATTTGGGGGGACTGATTGTTTTGAGTTCTTTATATATCCTTGATAATAGTCCTTTGTCTGAGGTACAGCTGGTAAAAATTTTTTCCCACATTGTAGATTGTCTCTTAGTTCTGCTAATGGTTTCTTTTGAAGTACAGAAGCTTTTTAGTAAGATGAGATCCCAGTTGTTGATTCTTTCTGCTAGTTCCCGTGCACTAGTTTCTGCTCATTAAACAATTAGATCCTCAATACTTCATCAAAAATATTCTCTAAATTGCCTGAATGAATTAAAGGGAAAAATAACCATTTAGAGAGAAATTAAAGACTTAGTTAAGACTATAGGACAACAGTAGGAAAACGACTTTTTGAAATTAAAACAGAAGTAGTATTAAATTGTATGTGCTTATTTTAAATAGCAGGGCTCTTCTGTTCTTTGGAAGCAGAGTTTAAGTCCATGAAGTAATTTAAGGCACACCCTTTCTATGCAGGAATGTTGCTATCAACATGGAGGTGAGTCTGAGATTGTTTCCACAGCATAAGAGTGAAAGCGATTGTAGGATATTACTGATGAAATACAGGAAGATTTTTTTTTTGGCAATGTCTCAGTAGTAAAATTATATTCTCAGACCACAAGAATGCTTTGGTCTCTAGGGAGGCAAAAGCAAAGCAAAGAGCAAAAGCAAAGGTAAGAGGTAGGTCTGAGTGTAATATAAGGACTCTGGAAGGTGAGCTCCTGGGAAATCTCATGTGATGGCCCAGTGAGGCCGATTCTGGAGGAGCTGGAGGGTCAGAAAGTGGGTGTGGATTCTACAGACAAGTGTCTCTGTGAATCTTGAAAGAAGAACACACAAAAGCATAGTGTAGAGAAGTTGGGAATATTAAATATGGAGGAATATTCTGGAATGGCAGAGGAGGTCTTTGGGCAATGGGATGGGCTGCGGCAGAATAAAGATCACAAGGCACAGAAAGAGCGTCAGTCTGTCACTCAAGTCACCTAGGCACGAGTGAGAAGCGTTCATCAGGAAGCTCCCAGAGGAACTGGAATGTAAGGAGCAAATCCAACAGGCATGCCATGTGGTGAAGCACCACGATTTGCTGAAACTCAGATTATAAGAGATGGAGGTGGTGGGATGTGTATTCAATACTAACTTTAGTATTGTTATTATTGTTGTTTTCTATTTCCACGAGATTTCAAATCATACACAATCCCACCCATTCAACTGGTGCATCCACTAGGAATCCCACTCATTCATTTTCCCCTATGTATGCTAAGCCTTGTCAGGTGCCAGACACTGGGCGTGGCTTCAGGGATACAGACACAGGACAGTCCTAGTCGGGGAGGGTGCAGACATTCGGCATCGACTTAATACAGTTATACAGGGGCTCATGGTGGACAAGTGGAAAAGTTCAGGAAAGACTATTTTTAAGAAACATTATATCAGTTATTATATGCAAATATAAGCCAAATAGTCCGAAGTTTTATACAATTCTTTTGTCACCATTTATCTAATCATACTGCCAATGACGTCTCCATTTCTCCTTTGTGTATTTTTAAATAATACCTTTGATTCATCAATTTTAGACACTACCTACTGACTCCTATACGGGGCTCACTTATATACCTCATTCCTTCTTATATACCTTCGTCTTTCTGTCATCCCTCATCTATTACTTTTTTCCTTTAATAGTCATAGTTTTCCTTTATTGTGATTATGTATTATACACAACCGAGCCAAGAAGTACTCTATGAATGCCTTCCTTTTCATCATACAACTTTTAAAAAATATTATTTCGAGTTAATAGCTGCTGTTGTTATTATGCGCCTTCTTCTCTCCGACTCCAAGTCTTCTCATATTGTGAATGACAAGTTCCTTTAGGCCCAGGGAGGCACGGAGAAGAGCTGCCCATGTTGCCTCAGGGACCCCTCCCATTTATTTGTGCTCATTTGTACTCTAGCTGGATGCACCACCAGCTGTAGCAGGGAATCACTGCCCACCTCCTTCAAAAACTGAGTTCCAGGAAACCAGGCCCTTATCCAAGACATATTTTTCACATCCATCACAGTCATGCTGCTTTTATTTTCTCTGCCCAGCCTCACGCTTCCTGGAAAGTACTCATTAATAATGGTATTCATATATATGTGGGTGAAAATATAAAGACATGTAAATGCGTTCATGCCTACACACATATTCAATCTTCATTTTCATTATTTATAATCATTCAACAAATAAACATCTGGGAACTGATATCTTTATTTAATGAATCCATTTCCTAGGTGTATAGTTGGGACGGTTATTTAAAAAGATGAGAAAACTTTCTCAAATCCCTTTTGACTAGAGAAAAATAGAAATTATTTTTTGGTTTAGCTGATATTTATAAAGGTTCCAATTTTCATAAGCTTCAACAAATAAATCATTATTCATATAAATGCTATGCTATATTTCCTGAAGTTTTGGAAAAGTGTATGAACTATCTACTAACAAGTGGATTATGTGAATTATAGTTGATCTTTATAAAATATTATTTTCATTATTCTTGGTGATATTATTCATTCCTAAAATCCCTTTTTGGGACATTTTTCTTGATCTCTAATCATTTTATACCTGTTTGCAATGCTAGTCCAGTTGAAAGAAATAAGTGGACCTAAGATGTTTATAATTATGGGTTCTTAAGACATATGCACAAGGAAAAGGGGAACTAATGGAAAAAAGCAGCTCTGTCTAGTTCATTGTTTGGATTAATAAGTGAGTTTATGCTGCTTGCTTCCAGCAAAGAATTTTGCATGGAGTTCTCTGGCAAATGGCAACTTATTTAAAACATCAATTTCCAGTTTTTAGTGACTTCTGTCTTGGCAATATGGCTTTAAAAAAGGACATATGTATATATATCAAAAGGGCTGTATATTCTGTGAAATCACACACATACACACACACACACCCACCCTCAACTGCATGTAGTAAGTTCTTGGTTGCCACGGCACTTTGTGGTTCTCTAATGCTCCTATTCTTTGCAGGAAAGATCCTAAGATAGTAGGCTTTATCTTGTCAGTATACAGAGCCCCGATCCTGCACTGTCTTTCTAAAGGAAATGAACAAAAAAGAAACCACTACTTCCTAACTTATCAACACAGGCATAACTCTTCCCAGAATTTTATAGCTGATTCTGTTCTCATGCTCCTATAATGGTATACAAAGAACATGGTTTTATTTTTTGTGCCTTTGAAAGTAACTTTTCACGCTAGTTTTAATTTCTCAATAGAAAATCAGCTTACAAGAGATATGTTGCTTTATTTCCAAGAACTTAGGATTTTCCAGTTCTCTTCTTTTACTGATGTTTAATTCATTTGTAGTTATAGAATATACTTTGTATGATTCCAGTCTTTCAAATTTTGTTGAGATTAATATAATGACATATTGTAAATCTTGGTGAATGTTCAATGTGTGCTTGATAACTGCTATTCTGCAGTTATGAGTTGAAATTTCTGCAAATGTGAAACAGGTCAAGATGACTGTCAGTGTCTTTACATCTGCATCCTTTGTGGTTTTCTTTCAATTTCGGAGGGAAAAGTCTTAAAATTTTCAGCTACACTGTGCATTTACCTTTCTCCCTTTAGTTCTGCTGGCTTTTGTCTCATGCCTGTAAAGCTGCTTCGTAATTTAGCCCTTTCATCATTGTGAAGCATCCCTCTTCACGTAGTATTCCTCTGTTCTAAAGTCTGTTTGGTCTGCTGTTGATACAGACACTCTAGGTTTTCATGATAGTATCTGTACAGTGTATCTTTTTCACTTTTATTGGTAACATATCTGTGTTTCTTTTTAGATTTATTGTGCACTTCTTATAAACAGCATACAACCGTGGCTTGCTTTTTATTCAGTCTAATAATCTGTCTTTTAATGGGTGAGTTTAGTTTATTTCCACTCAGTGCAGTTATTCTGACCTGTCTGAGTTGAAGGCTACCATCTTGATCTTTGTTTTCAATTTGTCCCATGTGGTCTTTGCTTAGTTTTGCATTCGCACGGTATTTTGGATTAAAAGTATTTTCACTGCTTATTAATCTCTTCAACTGACTCATTACTTGATGAATTTCATTTTAATTTGTGTATAGTTTCAACAGAGTTTAAAATGTATTTATAACTTAACCTTGCATAATATTAGAATGTCTCCTGGCTTAAAAAGCTTGAAAAAGTTTACTTCTATTTTCATCATTATTTGTGTTGTCACGTATTTTAATTTTACCTGTTATAAATTCTATAATACAATCTTATTGTTTTTGTTTGAAGCAATAAAATACTTTTAAAGAAATTGTGATCTGAATACAGTTTTAAAGATTTATGTAC